TGCAATTTAATTTATTTATAAATTTATTTCTTATTAATTATAAATAATTTAATTAGAAAATAGGGTTTCTGATCCTGAGGATAAAGATTGTAGTGTTTTACTAGACTATAGATCTTCAATAGCAATTTTATCAAGCTCCTCTTAATCTTTAGAAGACAATCGTCCAATATTGCAACAAACAATTTTTGATAGCCAGCAAGCACAACAATTAACTAGAGATGACAGTGATAGAAAACAAATAAATAATAATGATACCGAAATGTTTAGTAAACTAATTTCTCAACAAGATATTTAAGGAGTTCAGGGACAGGAAATAGGAGACAAGTAATAATATTATATAATTTTTTATATTATAAATTAATTAATTTTAAAATATTAATTATAATTTAAACTTCTATATATTTGTATATAAAATAGAAAATAAATAAAATGATTAATTCATATAACTTTATTTCTAATAAAAAATATCATCATCAGATATTTTAAAATATATCAAATAATCTAAGATATTAATATAATATTTATCACCAAATAGTGAATAAATATCTTGTAGACAATCATTTAAAAATAGAAAACTAGATGTATACAAAATATAATATTCACAAATGTATCTATAAAGTTGGTGATCTAGTAAAAATTCAAATTGCTAAGATTGATTGTGGACCCAGTGATCATTATATACTTTTATACAAAGGATTTTTAGTACTTTTTAATAATATATATAATCTCATCTGTCAATTTGGTATTCTAAAGAATGCATTTCTAGCTAGTGAAGTTTTGCCACTTGGGCTAAAAGAGTTTTCTGAATTAGATAATCTATCACTGATACAACTATCAGTATCATTGAAGCTACAAGACTTCAATTTAATTCTCTTGCAAGTAATAAAGGATACAATTATAAAGGTGATTGTCTTATAGCAAGATGTTTGTGTAAGAAACTAAATACTTTATGTAGAAGTAGGTATCACCCAAAAAATTCTAAATGCAAACATAGGGTTTAAAATCATGTATAATGCATAGAATTGTAGAAAAAAAAATATACTTAATCTATATAATAATTTATATTAATATATTGTTAATATATATAGCACAGAAAAAATATATATTCTTTTCACTATGCATGAGTTTTTTTTTTGATGTGAAATGATTCTGATCAAAAAAAAATTGAAAGCCTCTAGTTGTTAAAAAGAAGATAATAGTTTTATTTTCTTTCTGTATTAAAATTTAAATTTATTTTCTAACTTTGAACTTTAAATACTAATTTAGATTTTTAGAATCACAATTGTTTTGAAGTATCTTAATTTTTTACTAGCGATTAGAATCATTTAACTGTTCAAATTAAGGTGGTAAATAGAAAATATAATCTAGTTCACAGAATGAGCCCAAGTTTAGTTGTATAGTTTTAACTAACCTTTTAATTAGACAAACTCAATTGTATAAAATTTGGCTAGCTATTATTATTATTATTATTATTGATCTTATTTTTGGGTAATGCTTGGCCTTATAATAATACTCAATATAAAAATATAATAGTATATATATATGTACATAGTAATGAACAGTTAAATATAACTTATATAGATAATAATATATTCTAAGACAATAATAATCTAAATACAATATATAATTAAAATAACATTATTGCGGCTTCAACTTATATATATATAAATTTTTATCTCTTAAACTGTAAGCTTTTCCAGGCAAATTTGCCTAGAAAATTATTATAAATATGGTTATGATTTACTTTTTTGAAATTTTAATATATTTAAATAAAATTTTTTTTAATAATATTTGAAAATAAGGATTATATTATTGCAGTATTTAATTTTATATTATATAAGAAAAGTCTTAGTTACTTATAAGATAAAAATAGACCAATTTAGAAAAAATTTTTTAATGAAAAAATTATCAACTTATT